TGGTGATTATGAATGAAGACTCCATTTTGACTTGGGCACAGAACCCATCCAAGTCATTTCAGGCCTGGGCACTAAAGGGTTAAGGAAATCCATAATCTTGTAGCTTATTATTGGCATGGCCTTTCTTCTTTTTATGAATCATTTGTTTGGTTTTACGTTTCATCTGTATACTACCAAAACAGGTAGAGTGACAATCGCGCCCGAAAAAAAGCAGTCGCCAATGACGATTAAGATAAACGTATCTAGATACATTCTTGAGCTCAGAGTGGCAATTTAACTTTGATGTTAAGATTCAAATTTGACAATTACTTACTGCAAGCTCAAAGTTCAAAGCTAATTAACTGCCCCGGGCTCAGGAATGTAGCCAGATACGTTTATATTAATCGTCATTGGCGACTGCTTTTTTTCGGGCTTGATTGTCACTCTACCTGTTTTGGTAGTAAATTTCTAACAATATCGCAAGGGGCTTTTGTTCTCAATGCATTCTTTCTTTGATTGTTTTTCTCTTTGATTATTACCAAAAGTTTGCTGTCAATCCACAGGTGAAACACGTCACACCAACTAGCTAATGGACTTGTTAAAATCATTTTTAACAAAAGCCATATCTCAAGCTAGGGGTATATAAGAACAGTTCTTTAAGGCCTGACCAATTCATGCAATTGCCTTTCTTAAAGTTGTAAGCAGAATGCTTGGCTTTTGATTTCCATGGAATATTCAAATCAAGTTCAATATGTGATCCGAGTTGAAAATATCTGCAAAACCTTCAAGTTTTGTGACCTTTTCCGTGATGTTACTCAGAATTAAATTGAGTATGTTGTTGATCCTAATATAGTTGGGAAGTTTACCAGTTGCCACAGAAAATTACCTTTCACTGTCTTTGTAAAGCAATTATGAATTGCATCATTAGTAGTTGCTGTCCTGATAGACTAGTCTATATGGAGAAGGTTGAAATCACCACATAATTATTTGGTCAAACTTAGCTTTAGAAGTGATAGAAGCATGATTTTTTTGGGACATTTGATATCAATTATTCATTTGTTCACTAAAATATTAATTATTGATGAAACCCATGCATGATTAAAAAAAAATTTTTTAGGGGCATGAAAGCATTAATGAATATATAATATTAGTAAAGATTTAAAACAAAAGAAAGTAAATAAAAAATCGCAACATCAGTTTATTTTTACGTTTCGTTGATATTCCTGAACAGCAATGAGAGTATATATTTCATTCATAAATATATTTTAGGTATTTATATATAACATAACTATTCTTAATAATTCTTTTGAAAGAAAAATAAATAATTTAGCGAAACATTGTACAGTACGAAGATGTCATTCCTTTGATATTCTAATATCCAAAGCGAAAGAAACGGGACTGTCAAAGCAACTATACGTACAAAAGAAAATCATGCATGCTGCTGCATCTGCATGCAAGTTGGTATAAATTAAGTATGGATTTATCAGAACAAAGCTCTCCTTTGACAGAGGTTTAATATGACCTTCTAGCCGAATTTCTTTAAAAACGGTATAACACCATAATAACCGGGCCTACATTACCTTTAATATTGTCATTATAAGTCTTAATACAAACGGCGTTTTAGGTTTACACACCCAAATAGTTTTGAGATGGGGAGTTGACATTGTTTTTGTCGTGACAAACGAAATCCAGTTAAGCTTATTTCACGTTCAACGAACACATAAAATAGGAATAAGAAAAGTCTCTCATCTATCCAGCAGTGCGAGTACAACACAAATACTTAATGCACAACCGATAGTTTACTATGAAGATTTAACCTGCCCCTCGAGAACAGACTTCCATATTAAGCTTAGGTGAAAAACGACGTCTGCGTCCATCAGCTATCATGCAACTTAAAAACGTTTAAGAAATATTAAAAAAAGTCATAAAAAGTTTAACTTTACCTTTTTTATGAAAACACTACCTTTGGAAAAGGGAGTAACTTTCAATTTATCGAATCCTGCTCCTTAAAATCTTCGTAAAATTTGAAGGGCGAGACGATACAGCTTTTAAAACTCCTTCTAGAACGATCGAAGATCTTGCCCAGGAACACTCATACACGCGCGGGTGTTGTCTGCCTTCGAAAAACCAATCAAAAGCCACAAAAAACAATAGCTGTCAAGGACGCTGTCATTTTGACAAAGAAGCACATGGGAAACGATGGTTTGTTATTTATAGCTACCATTCATCATAGTCTCGCTAAACTGGTTTTTCCAGTTAAATAGCTTCGTTTCTTTTGTTTTTTTTTCACTGTAAAGACTTGAGAAACAATTTTAACTGGAAGGATCGTTTGGAAGGGAATATAAATGAAGATGCATAGGAAGAATAAAACCACAACCAAAAGCTGATCACACTGCTGAGCTAGCAAGTCAGTAGGGATGGGCAATTTGGACCAATAGATTTTTGATTGGTGGAGTAGGGGAGTAGGGGAGGGGAATGGGGGGGAGGGGGGAATCTAAAACAATATTGAGCAAGGTATAACAACTTAAAAAAATATTGAGAAAATCTACTTCAGTGAAAAAAATATCAAGCTAGCCTTTTATAAAATATATAGAGGATATTACATGGGCACGCCGAGATACGAAATTTATCTTAGAGTGTTGAAAAGATCTCTCATGAGTGAGTGCAGCGAACGAGTGAGAGATTTTCAACACGAGAAGATAAATTTCATATCTCCAAGTGCCCATGTAATATTCTGCTTATTATATAATTATCCATAAAATTAACTTAACAAGCTTTTCTTTATTCTAAAAAGTTTTTATTCATAAACTAATAGCTTAATACACATGGTAAAATATGTGAAAATATCAGTTTTTCGAAAAGGAGAAATATATAGGTATTTTATGGATAATCATTATATGATAAAGAAAGTTAATATGGAAATTGCATTTCCGTAGATTTCAAAATTTTCTGCAAGGCGTCCCCAAAACCCCTAGAATAAATAGGAGGCTTATCAGACAATGTTGAAAATACATGATCATTTGATATCCAAATATAAAATGAAACAGAATCAGAAAGAGAAAGAATATTTGAGTAAGTTTAAAGTAAATTTCAAACATTTCTTCGTAAGCCACCATGCAAATACATTTTCTGTAATGTACTGAACCTTTTTTGAGATGTCCTGAACAGTGGTTTTAGAGCTGCATGACCAAAATATGGTGTGTCCTTTTGTCAGATTCAGTTCATAATATACCAAAACCGCAACATTAATCATTAGTATTTTTACACAAGTGAATATAATTGATGGTTTTCACAGTGGCCAAGTTGGATTATATAATTCAATGAAAGATCTGTGTCTTTCGTTATTTCACTCTCTTGGGAAAAATTAAATAATTACAGAAAATGTCAATGAATATGCTTAATCGTTCTAGCTTCATGAAACAATGAAAAGGGCTAGCTCTTTCTCTACAATTTTTAGCTTAATACATTATTCTCAAATTCTCCACGATTCCCCACAATTTGTAAACCACATGTGTCCTGAGCAATTATTATGCGAATGTCATAGTTAATTGAGCGGAATGGTTGGGAAACCCATTGTTCTATGTTTTTGTTTGACTTTATCCATTGTGATGTGACGTTGACAGTGCACAGAAAAGGAAAAGTTGCTCCGTTTGTTCATAGAAGTTTGTTCGGGAATATAGAAGTTTTTAACCCTAAAAAGCGTTCTAAAATACTTATTATTTGTTAATTAATCCTATATGATTAATACAAATTATTGTTTATCTAAAAGGAAATTGCCTTCTTACATGCTTTCTTATTTATCATCTAGTACCTTAACTGTATCTGCGCGGAAATATTTATCCGCATAGTTTGTGGTCATTGAATGAAAGATTTCACATTCAAAATGTTCATACATGAGAATAATACGGAAATGAGTATTTTCAGCCATACTTGCTTTGGTTCATTGTGCACCCTCAGTATCACGTAATGGTACGGTTCAACATCAAACGCAAAACAATAGCTTTGTTCTATGCAGTTTCCAAACCATTCCGCTCCATTAACTATGGCAAATGTCTACCCACCAACAACTTCACCAACACCCTATATATAGGCAAATCTTTATCGAAATTTTTACATCATTAGCATTAAATAAATTTCAAGCTACAAGCAAACCGACTCCAGAAATCAAAATCTTATTTAGTAACTACTGAAAATTTGAGAGCAATATATAGGTTCAATATTTTAGAGTAAATGTTTTTCAAAAACACTATATAAATGACAAAGAAATGTATGGTTTTGTGGCAGGTCTTTGGCACAAATCCATACATTTATTTGTAAATCATACCGCTTTCAAAAAAATTTTACCCCCAAAATATTGCACATATCACTCTCAAATTTTCAGTTTTCAGGGGGGAAAGGGGGTGTTCCAGTACCCCTCAATCAAACCCTCCCTAGCTATGTCCTGGCACATAATTTCTGTAATGCATAATGTATATCAAGCAACTAGATGACTTAAAACAATTTTATATTGTTTATCTATCGATCTGCTAAATCTTAAGCTTAGCTTAGTGACCAAGTTAAGTGACACATTGAAGAATTTAGCCCACTCACAACAACTTCTTTGTATGCTTTGTGTATTCATGAGTTAAGAATGGAGAGTGTAATGTTTTCTGATTTCAAAAACCTTTTTATTCTCTTGAGACTAAGATTATTTGTTTCAGTAATAAAGAAATGATACTCTAGGAAATGACACAATCATGATCTGAAGTGCACGTGGGTAAGCATTTACATGCACAAGGTAAAAAAGTCAATTTAAACCTCTTGCATATCTTACTGTTATCTTACAATAAACATGCATAACATTTGACATGATTTTGTTTTGGGAAACAAACTGAACCAACTAGCTAATTAAAAATCTTCTATTACTTAAAAACTGCCAAACCGGCTCTTGGTTCATTAAGCATTATTCTTTCTAGCTGTTGTGCTTTGAGGGTGTGGGTTTTAAAGATTCTATTATTATTAAGATTTCAAAGAGCTCCTACCTGTTGACTTTGAAGCATGAGTCATAACATAATGGTCTAGGGTATCCCAGCCACCTCCAATCCTTACTAACAGATGGTCATTCAACATCTATGTAAAGGTAACATGTTAAAAATGATTAATTCATGTCCTTCAATTCATTAACTATCATATACAAATTTAAATGACCCAATATGTACAAATAAATATGGCCACTTTTACTATTCAGAAATAGAAACTAGACCTGGCAAAAATGTGTTATGTTGTATTAAAATATGATGGCTGACAATACCTATGTTCTGTTCTGGTATTTTATCACATTTAAATTTTCCCATAACTTTTCAAGAATTTAATATTTTTACCTCAAACTTTCTAGAGAATAATAACAATAATAATAACTAATTGGGGACACAAAATGAAGAAAAAAAGAGAAAAAGAAAGCCCATAAAATAATATAACATGAAATAGTTATATTTATATTTAAGAATTTATAGTATAAAAATATATAGATAATAAACACAGTAACACTTAATAACCATTGGCTAACCAACCTGTTACCCTCCTTCCATGAATTAATAATTTAATTGGAATGCTGGAGGTATATATTACATTCTATTACAGTTTTGTGTTTATGCGCTTATATGTGCAAGTATATACAGTAGTTGAGAGAGGTAACAGGCACATTTAGAATCAAACCTCTCTGCTCATAATAATGATTAAAGTATAAACAAAAGTAAGTAAATACATTTTATTAATAATCCCTTAAAAATGCAGTAACGCTAAGGAAAATCAACCAAGAGAGTGAGATTCACCAAGATACAGGGGCAAGCTATGCCATCCAGCACATTTTCTCATACAAATCCTAGCTTGCGCAGCCAGGCTTTCCAGTTCCCTTCTCCTTCCTCTCTCCCCATTTTCTCCCAGTTCCCGTCCCCGTCCTCTTCAGGAACGTAGAAATGCTGGGCTATGCAGGCTATACAAATCCTTATAAAATATTCAATTTTATATCTAATGCCATTTCTACTATAATCAACATTATAAGCTAAAACTTTGCCTGAATTCTTACTAATATTGAGGCGCTCTTTTGATTTCTGGAGTTTGTTTTGACACAACGTCTCTTTTTATGGGGGGTAGAGTCACAAGACCTGTTGTTGCAAAAGGCCTATTAAATTTGTTACTTCTGTGAATGTTGACACATATTTATACTATGAAATATAACTCAAATTGTTAAACTTCTTATTAAATGAGTGTTAACAAAGATTAGGGGTGTCATGGTTTATACTGGGGGTGTCATGGTAGTACAGAATATATAGGGGCCTCATGGTATACATGGGGGTGTCATGATGGATGGGAAAGTCATGACAAGGGGGTGTCATGACTAGTTACCAAGAAATGATCACTGTATCTTTGCAAGACTAAGGTTCCTCAGTTATACTGAAAGAGTTCGAGGATGCTTCCTCTAGTTGTTTTAGTGCTCAACTGGTCAATATTGGACTGATTACTGTTTTAAATTGGCAGCAGTTTTACACCTTATTCGATCTAAACTTTAAAAAACCACACTGGACGCTAATCTTCAGGCACTTGCCTACATGTATACAAAGTTTGGATCATTGTTTTAGTATTTTTAACACAAGTGAATTTAATAAATAATGAAGAGCGTTTTTTTCTTCTTTTTTTCCCACAAATTTCATTTCTCTCTGCTAGAGCTACAATTCGACAAACAGTTTTGTGCATGATGGGTGATATATTCACTTGTAGGTGAATAAAGCAGGATAAGATATAAAGAATTGTGACCAATGAACATGCTGGATTTATTATATTCACTTGTGTAAAAATACTAATATCCCATAATTTCTGATATCTTTTTATATTCATATGCTTTTAAATGTCTGTATGTATATAGTACAGCTACTGAAATCTCAATCCCAGAAAAGTTGTCAAACTCCCAGAAAAATTGTGAAACAATAATTTATTGAACGATAATATGTTATATCTACTTACCCTTACAAACATAGTTTTTCCAAGTATGATATATTTTCCTTCTTTCAGTCTATGAACAATTTTTATATTGTATTCTTGTGCAATATTACAAACCTATTAAAAGGATGGTGAGAAATTGAAACAAATGATATTAATATGAGTGAAAAACATCATTTCTCCTTCCCTTTTAGTTCCATAAATTATTGAATCTCCCTTAAAAGTCCTTATCAGAAACATTCGTTTGAATGTCTCATAAAAACCAAAGTTTTTTTTAAAGGGTAACAAAAAGGGAACCTTTCAAAGTCATTACTGTCCCCCTTCCAACACGTCCTGGGATTGCTGGGGTAATTATCTTTAATTATAATGATGGTAATGATATTTTATATAGCGTCAATATCTTCGAGAGTTCAACAACATAAAAACTTTGAAGACTAAGGGCAAACGTCAAACTTTCCATGCACCAAACTTAATTACATCAAAGAATGCCGCCTCATTATCACCTGATATCCATTGTTTTTAATGAGTTCGGTGCATGGAAAGTTCAACGTTTGCCCTAGGCCTAAAACCAGGCCTCAGCCTTCTTCAAAATATCAAGACTAAGCCTTCTTAAAAAGGAGGCTTTACATGTAAAGCTCGCGCATAAAACTCGGAATTATCTCTGCATGACCTCATAATGTGCAGAAAGGGAATTCCATAGTTCTGGTGCAGCATTTGAGAATTCTCTTTAACCATATAGTTTAAGTTTGAAAGACACTTTGGTTAAAAGATTGGATGATTGTGATCTCAGTTGACGAGCTGGTACACACGGCTTTACCAGTTCACTAAGATATGAGGGAGCACAGCCATTCATAGCCTTGAAAGTTAGTTCTAAAACTCATGAACAATTAATGAGCATTTAGCTTAGACATATCAGGTCCTTCAAATCCATCACGTGCGTGGTTCTTTATACCCGATAAAGAAACTTGACAATCTAAAAAGCCCGGGGGCAGTTTCGATTTCGGACCCAGGGGAAATYGGGGCTGATTGTGGTGATGAATAATTAGTGCTCACTGAACCGGAAAACACAGAGAACTCTTGATCACCAAACTGGAACGTTTACAGAACTCTTGCCTATTCAACTGGAACGTATAGCACACTGAGTTTTAGAAATAATTTAGAAAATTGGTGGTCATTTTGTATCGGAGATATAGATCTATATCTATCAATACAAAACGACCACTCATATTCTAAACATGTAATCAATTCGTCGTTCAACAGGCAGCCAGTGTAAGTGAAAGAGAATGGGAGTCATATGATCAAATTTGTGACCGCATGATACTAAACGTGCAGCTGCATTTTGAACCCACTGATGTTTTTGAATTAAGTGTTTTGGCAACCATTTCAATAAATAATAATGATCTGTAGACCTCAACTTACTAAGAACAAGATAATGATAAATAAATGCTCTTTGGTTTTCAGAAAATAGAGGAATCTGACGAATACTAAGCCCCGACATAAACGATCTGTCCAAAATTAGCTGATAACAAATAAACCTTTCTGTCCAAAAATAGCTGATAATAAATAACACTTGAAGATTAATAAGATTGTATACATAAAATTATTTGATATAAGCTTTAAGGTGCTGACACACGGTGCAACTTGCATGCAACATTGCAAGCAACAAATTTTAATCGGGGTGACACACATTGCAACAAAATCATGCAACATCGCTTGTCAGCCTGCTATGTTAAGATATTTGAACTTGTACGACTATTAAACAAGGCTATTTGTTTTGATGCAACCAACCGTTAGCTTTCATAATGAGGCATTTCATAGTGCGATAGCGATCTTGAGCAAGTTTTGATATCTGTGATATATCAGATTCTCGKCTGACAGCAACTTTTATCATTAACTTTTTCCTTGCATAAAGATTATTATAAGAAAATAGAAATTCCACAGATATTTAATTACAATTTGGAATAGAGTTCAAGACTCTTCCAGTAAACATGTATCTAAACTAAGATACGTTGCAATTTATTATAGATGATTCACATTCAGAGCACGTAMGACAATATAATATTTAATGAATAATTCTCACCTTTCTGTCAAGCTCTGTCTCAAGTATTGAGTGCCTTTCCTCCTTTTGTACGACTCTTTGTGGCTTTTTTTCTACTTCAAACTTATTAATACTCTTGCTTTTAAGTACGATTTTAGCCTCATCAGCTACGAATTCCGATAAACGTGGGCTGACTGGATCTCCTTCTTCAAACACTGATTCAACACCTGAATCCGAGTCTATTGGGCTCCTATCTCCTCGTGTTGTCTCCGTATTTAAAGTTGCTAAAGGTAGTAGAACATGTTGCTCTTCAGCATAATCTTCAAACAGCTCCTCTTCCTCTATTTCTCGTTCTAGCTTAATCATCTGAGGGACTTCTAYTTCGTATTGCGAAGACCTCCGTGCAATTTCCATTAAACAGATCACAATTTCTCGACCTCCGGTTCTGCACTCGTCTACCAGAACCGCATCATTGGATTCGAATAAAATGGCTTCAGGAATACCATGCCACCGGCACCACGTCAGAAACTTATCGACATTTTCGCGCGAGTGAAACAACTTTGACTCCCTGGTTCCCTTCTTGRAGTTGTGGAAAATAAACTTTTTCCCTGGTACACTTTTTCCAGTTCTTGCCCCATAAATCTCAGCCATTTCTTGGATAAAGTTTGCAAGGAGACACAGAATAACCCCATCTTCCAAAGCGTAGAAAAATAATTCTGGAGTGATGAAAGCGTCTGGAAATAAACTCAATAACCAAGCACTCTCATCCTCTATCATAGCATAAAGCAATTCATTTTCTTTTTCCCATCGTTGAAAGCTCTGTATGCTACTTGTTTTGAGTCGCCTCAAGTTTGCTCTGTTTCTTGGAGTGCATGTCACATCAAYTGTAAGCTCGGAGGTTGAAGATGATTTTTGCGCCATATAAGTTTGTATCTGTCTTTAGCAAAACACACCATAGAAATCCGCTTTATAAAAACTTTATAAAAACATTGGACCTTCGAATTGTAGTTCGACGGATCGCCAGCATCCAATGTTTAAAGATAGAACTAATTTGCACTTACTTCTGATGCTCATTTTAAYGACTCTCAAATGAATAGAGATCACTGTTTACCCATTGTTTAACATTCCAGAGCATGAAAACAAGGGCCTTGCGCTGCGGTAGAAGCGTGATAGTGTAAACCCCAGGGAATATTTATGACAGTTGTTTTGTGTAATGCCACCAATAAGAAACGTAGAAATACTYCAATGTGATTTGCAACAACAGAAAGGATTATTCAGTGTCAAATGCTGACCAATGCACACATATAGTAATTTAACTTTGCTAAGAAACTAAAGGTTCCTCAAAGAATGAATAATGCAGTTATCACAACAATAATATATCTTTTCTGAYTGGCAAAAGATGAAGCACGCAGGAGGTGTGAGAATGAACAACACAGTGGTTTTTGATTTTACGATCACCGGGRTGTCAGAAGTATCCGTTTACAAATTCGTTGGCCAACAAACAATGGCACTAGAAACAAAAGAAGGGGTGGAAAGAAAAGGCCAACATGATGGAAAGCAGAATCCGACSGAGTGGAATTAAGTCTATCACTGAAAGTTAGAAAAAATTCCTTTCTTGAAGAGGCTTGTTTTAATTTAGAGGGTCTTGCGCCCATTTTGATCAAATCCCAGTCCCACAGTTTATGTTTTGCTCAAATCTCAATCCCATTTTTTTTTGGTTGGCGAATCCCAGTCCCAGTCATAAAACCCTTTTTCCCAGTTTTCCAGGACCCTGAATTTACATAGTTATATTCGTATTTGCAGTTTCGAATTACTTTGAAATAGATTGAAACATGTACRTATTCATAATAACCAACTGGGACTTGCTAAGAAACAAATGACCAATGTGAAATAACTTTATAGCTTGGGAAAGATGGAAAAGCATTCATTTTTCAAGTGTTCGGCTTTGCTAAAGGTTTCAACAGTTTTAACGTTCTCACGATTCATATCCGCAAAAAAGAAAAGATATAGGTAATTTTATACGAAAATATTCCCATACATTTTCTCTTATTTGAGTGGATCTAACGCCCTTGCTAACACATATATCTCCAGGTATGGATCCAGGGGGAGGGATGTGGGGGTTGCAACTCCCCACCCCCGGCGTCTTTAAAAAGTGGATGGCCCCTTGAACGTAAGCAGTACACCCCTCTTTAAGAAAATCCTTGATCTGCCCATGGTCTCCCTCCTTCTCGCCGCCCAAGAAGGGAAAAAGAGGGTCTGCCCGCTGAGTTTGGTAATAGGTTCGCAAGTCTTCACATAAATTTGGATGCACYTTTCTCTCTGATAAGGGATGGGTTATTATGATTGCCTGATGGGAGAGGGGTATACAGGAATTTATTTTGCACGAAATTTAGCACCCCTTTGCACGTWCTTTTGAGTGCGTTTGCTCGATATTTCTTTTCTGAAAGGGAGGGGGTAAAGTGGCTTGCTCGATGTTTCTTTTGGGATTTACGCAACCCATATCAATAGACCTCCTCGGCTCTCACGTTATATTTTCCCATTTCAGACCACGTGTCATTCTCTAGAGTATTGTTTCTTTGTTTAGCGGTTGCACATGGGAAGACACATGAATATGGATACAACTCAAACAAAGAATATTATTCTCAAGGGAATGACACGTGGTCTGAAATGGAACAACATTACGCCGAGCCAAGGAGGTCTATTTTAACCATATTCATCTTACAGCCCGATTTACATGTAAGAATTATGAATTATGAATTATAAATATAAATGGTTCTAAGAGAGACAAATAAGAAAGTACATGACATCCTGATACTTTTACACGATAGTAATTTTTTATAAGCTTTGCTTCGAATCTCYAATAATCAGATCAAATTCTTCGTCTGCACGTTACGTCATCGCGGCCATGTTGGTACCATTTAACAAAAGATTTCTCATTAGCGTCCATTGTTAACGGTACCACAATGATAGATGTGTTGATCATCACAGTGAATGAGCGATCAAAGCGAACGCTGTAAAGAAAGACCTGAAAAAATAATTTCAGGCTTCAACGGGAATCGAACCCATGACCTCCGCGATGCCGGTGCGATGCTCTACCAACTGAGCTATGAAGCCAATGGCCGCCAAGCTTTAGTGTCTTTTAACTCTCTTGCGAATGCTTGCAACCCATCAATTAGGAACACAAAGTTTCAAGTAGAAACAAAGAAAGTAGAAACATTGCTTTTAGAATCAGTTTATTATCATAAATCTATCACCATCCTGACCAATGGTTAACAATTAAATGAGCCCTTCTTACCTATCTTACAACTTTACTTACGACACAACTATGTTTTTCTATATTTTCAGCTCTTGTAGTATTTTACACGTGTTGGGAACCGTTTGCAAATAAAAAAGCACAAGACTAAGAAGATTCCAAGATGAGGATTARACAAAGTCACCCTACAAAATAACTGAGAGAACAGAGAAAATATTTAAAGTCTGATATGAACGATTTGTTTTGGTCCCAACATTATATACTATCTGCTAGTTGTGCAATTCAATCTTTCGTAGTAAAAGACATCTATTAATAGAGCWTAAGAAAATATTCACAAACTGGATTTTAATCAAATTGTATGACRTGTATTCCTAAGTGATTTCTTAGATATCTAGCGTCCTTGGAACGTTTAAGTACTAGTATTTACATGGCTGTCTTGGAAAGATCCTGTGAACAAAACAACCGTTTAATATCCGATAAGTCGACATATGGAATTCAGAGAAGTGCTTACTTGTATCTATAGACTCTTGAAAAAAACATGGCTTTGTAGTTTACGCATTAGGCTTTACCGTTAGCTAAAACTACACAATTTGAYAGGGTAACTAGATTTACATAGAGTAATTTTCATGCAGGCCCTTTCTAGATCGAAATAGAATTTAGAAGAGTTAATTTTTGCGCAGGGAAGAAATCCGGAAAACCGGCCAAAGCTCTCGACACGCAGGAGAGAACCAACGAACAACTCCACTCACACACGACGAGCACGATATTCGAACCTGAATCGCATGGGTGACTGAGAGACGAGCCTCATCACCGCTACACCACCCATGCTTCCCATATTGTCAGTCTAGTATTTTTTTGTAGTATAGTTTGCGCATTTGGTTTTACCGTTAGGCATTCAAGTTAGCGCGGGCAGTTCCATAATGTCTCCTAACTCTGTCGTAACACAACATGTAAGCCGTTCACCCAATGTGTGTGTATATATGTACACCTAATTGAAAAAACGTTGTCGGGTTCAAAAAAAGGTTATAATTATCATCAAAGCTAAGACCGAAGGGGAGCATGGGAAAAAAACAATTATGCTAATTTCATGCGTATTGCAGTTTTCCCTTCCTGTGCACATTTTATGCATCATGGCTTTGGCATGTTGTTAATCTAGGTCGACCAACTTTGCTCTACTGTACATTTTTACATGTCTATGTGCAAATATAATAAACATTTCGGAGTACCCAAAATCGTTTTCGGTCTTAGCTTCGATGATATGACCTTCTCGAACCTGACTACGTTTTTTCAATTAGGTGTATACGGAACGATGCAGTATGATTTCTATAGCGGGAATTGAAATCATTTTTCTGTTAGCCTAACATTGGTTTCGCACTCGTTGGTGTGTTGGGCTTATAGAAAATGATTCCAAGACCAGCTATAGAAATCATACTGCATCGTTCCGTAACCAGTCAATGACTAGTTGTTGTATCTCTACAACCGAAMGCTGTTTCGTGAGGTGAAGTTACCTCACTCATCAGGAGTTTAAAGTAGTGAATGTATTTTACAACACTTTAAATATGAGATATTTACATGGGCTTGCAGCGTAGCAATGAAGCAAACCCCTAGGCGCCTCTTATGTAAATTTCCCCCCGTCTTAAGGACGTTCATGGGCATTGTTTGCGCGCATCCTTTCTACGCATGAATTGAGTGAGCGTACGCTCATCGTGATGACGTCATTCCAATGTTTTGTTAAGCAAAATCTCATAAAAACGTTTTTAATCTCTTATAAAGTCGGGCACCCCCTTTTTTATTTAGCTTTTGGAAAGTACTCGGTAGTACCTAAATTTAGAAGAAATTTTAAAAATCCGTGACGATGTGATCAAATCGAAATTACATTTTTTTTTGTGTATAATTGGAATGGAATTTCACGAAACGCGAAGGCTTCAAGTGAACACTTATAGCAATATAAAAAACATTTTATATTTCTAACTTTTARCACAAATTTCAAAAGCTAACTAGTTATTTTATATTTTTCAGTAAAAATGACTTATTTTTGACAGCTGTTTACGTSGTTCGCGCGTTTTTACCATAAGAAGGGTGAACCGGTTCAACGTATTCTGACGGCTAAACGCAGTCGGGGATCCCCATTAATTATTTGGTTATTTTACTTCTAGTATGATGTTCATTCATTGCGGAAAAAATAAAAGAAATTCTGACGATGGGATCTTTTGCCCATGAACGTCTTTAAAGTGCCTATCATAAATAACCATAAATGCCTCCTCATACGTCACAGCATTAGCATATAGCGTGGAAAAACCTTTATAACTTCAAGAAGCCGCAGTCAAACTATGTAATTTTTTCGGGTTATTCAACATCTTACCCCATATAGAATCAATACTGAGAATATTGTCAGAAGGGTGATAGGCACTTTAATCATAATGATAAATTTCACACACAGCTTTGAATACTTTTATAACGAATATCCAAATTTCATYCTTATTAATTCAAAACCAAAGCACTTCCAGTATTTTTAAAATATCAAAGGAGCACCGCATGCGTTACCATACAATTTGCGTATATTTCGAGACATAATTCATCTTCGTTTAAGGTTGGTATAGACAGCGTATTTCAGAGCAAAAGAATATTATAGTTATCCATAAAACATACCTTCAACTTTTGTTTATCTTTTAACAATTAAAAATRAATAACGTCCGGCGTTGGTTTATCGGTGCAATCCTCTTGGTCTGGAAGGCTAAGCAAAATGACATTAATTAAGAATATGAAATAAATGAGCAAAAAAAAAAGAAAAAAAGAAGGAAAAAAGAGTCCCAATTAAGTTGCTCAAATTTGTTGAGTGTGTCAT